GAAGTTCTTAAGTCATTTTTGGATGACCCTTTGGCGGAAGCTAGGCACGAAACTCAAGTTCAGCACATCAAGCCACCCGCAAACAGATGGTCAAACGGAAGTTACAAACCGGACGCTTGGAACCCTTCTTCGGGTACTAATCAAGAAAAACATCAAGCAATGGGAAGAGCTTTTACCGCATGCTGAGTTCGCTTACAACAGGACCCCAAACAAAACAACTGGAGTATCCCCGTTTATGGTTGTGTATGGCTCGAACCCCCTCACCCCACTTGATCTTGACCCTATCATGGGAAAAGGACAATATAGTTGGGAAGCTGACAAACGATCCAAGGAGATTCAAGAACTACATGGGAAGGTTCGAGAGAAGATTGAGGCGATGAATGAAAAGGTGAGTGCACGCATCAACAAAGGAAGAAGGCTCACGTGTTTCCAGCCTGGAGAATTAGTATGGATTCATCTCAGAAAAGAACGTTTTCCAACAAAACGCAAGTCCAAGTTAATGCCAAGAGCTGATGGTCCGCTCGAAGTAGTAGAGAAAATCAATGAGAATGCTTACAAGATCAACCTTCCGGGAGATTATGGAGTCTCGGCTACATTTAACGTGAAAGATCTCAGTCCATATTTTGATCCTGAAGAAATTCCGAGTTTGAGGTCAAACTCTTCTGAAGAAGGGAGGATGTTGTATCCCCTAGTACTACACCTGATCCTCAAATCCTTAAACAAATCAGTGGAATCATGTCTAAGTGTTACGATCCTTTCTGGAATGAATTCTCCAACCCCAAACCATATTACTTAATTCTGACAACCTTGAGCCTATCTCCATCCTAAAAAGAGCCGTATACCCTGCCCAGACTACCCCACTCCCTACTTGAGTCACTCCATCAAAATAACACATTTTGTGCCAAAAAAAAAACCATATCACACAATAAGTCAATTTCCTTTTTCATTTCCCTAATCTAGGGCCGAAACACACCAAGCCAAACAACCATATTTCATCACCCAACATCCCACAAACTGTTATGACGGATGTAAGAAAGATAACAAACAATAAAGAAACGAAAGAACAAACACACAGATTTAACGTGGTTCACCAACAATATGTTGGCTACGTCCACCTAACAGAAGAGAGGAGAGCTTTTACTGATTGAGGAGAGAGATTACAGAGGGATTTTCTAGGTGACTGATCTATGTCTGAATGCCTTACAAATGAACCT